GCTCAAGTGGTAGCACACTCACCTGGCATGTGCGGGGCGCTGGGTTCGATCCTCAGCACCACATAAAATAAAATAAAGATGTTGTATCCACTGAAAACTAAAAAATAAATATAAAAAAATTCCAATAATGTCTTTTATGGAATTTTTTTCTTCAATACAAGATCCAGCACAGCATCATGTGGGGCAGTTATTGGTCCCCTTTAATCTGGAACATTTCCTCAGCCTTTCTGTGTTTTTTATGACATTGATACTTTTGAAGAGTACAGTTTTTTATAGTCTGTTCCTCAGTTGGGGTTTGCCTGATGTCTCCTCACCATTACATTCAGGGTATACCATCACAGACAAAATATTGTTATTTTTTAAATCTAAAAAAGATTTTTTATTTGTTCATTTTAGATACACACGACAGCAGAGTGTATTTTGACATATCATACACACATGGAGGATCACTTCCCATTCTTGGGGTTGTGCATGATGTGGAGTTTCACTGGTAGTGTTCATATGTGAACACAGGAGAGTTCTGTCCAGTTCATTCCACTGTTATTCCCTCCCCCCTTCCCTTCATTCCCCTTGGTCTAATCCAGTGAATTTAACTATATCCTCCCTCCCTTGTCGGATGTAGCATCCATATATCAGAGAGAACATTCGGCCTTGGTTTTGGGGGGTTGGTTTATTTCACTTAGCATGATAGTGGCCAGTTCCATCCATTTGCCAAAAAATGCCAGGATGCCATTTTCTTCGTGTCAGCCAAACTATTGTAAAAGTTATCCTCACTCTTCTCAGAAGCACACGACTCTCAACTCCTCGTCTGGAGTGGACGTTTCGTGCAGTCGAGGTGCGGCCTGGCATGGGCACTGCTGCAGGAACAGCCCTTAGCTCCTAATGAGCCATTGGTGGGTGGATAGGTGTGCCTCTCGCCAGGCTTCCTGTTTCCTGGGGTGAGCACTCACCAGTGATCCCTGTCTGATATTGCTGTGGTTTGGATGCGGGGTGTCCCTCAAACCTCCTGTGTTAAAGCAGGAATGTCTGGAGGTGAACCCATCACATCCAGAGAGTCTGGACCTAACCAGCCATCCTAGTGTGAGTGGGCTCACTGGCTGGTGACTGTAGGCACATGGGGCGTGGCTGGAGGAGCTGGGTCCCCAGGAGCGCCCTGGAAGGATCGATCTTCCCTGCACCCTTTTTCTTTGCTTTCTCTCACCTTCTCCACTTTCCATGTCCTGGGAAGCTTCCCTCCACCACATCCTTCCTCCATAATGTTCTGCGTCACCTCGGGCCCAGAGCAGGGAACTGGGCCCACCATGGCCTAAATCTCTGAAACCATGAACCAAAATAAAGTTTCCCTCCAGATTTGTTCTGGTCAGGTATTTTAGTCACAGCAACACAAAGCTGACCAACAGATATTTACTGTGATGGACTGAAAGTCATGGCTTTCCACCTCCCCCAGCCTTCACCCACAGAGAAGGAGGCCTCCTTTCTTGCCCCTTCAGTTCCTTACCATTGAGCAGTTGGTGTCTTGGATTCCTAGCTTGTTATTTTTCTTTTTGTAATAGTGTTCCACACCCAGGATGAGGGGACAGAATGTGTCAATCAGAGGGGTTTTCTACTGTGTCTTCTAGTGTCTTCTCTGTTAGAGCTGGTTTACCCGTGTAACTCTTCCTTTCCAGTGTTTTCTTAGTTTTTCATATAAACTTTAGGGTCAACTTGTCTGGTTCCATAAAAATATTTTTATTATTTTTGTTTATTATGTTAAAAGTTTTATGCCCCATCTCAATGATCTTATAGGGTCACGCAGATGTCATTAAAGATGAGGTCATAGTGGAATAGGGTGGGCCCTTATTCCAAGGACTAGTGGGTTTTTTTGTTATTTATTTATTTATTTGCAGTTCTGGGGATGGAACCCAGGGTCTTGCCCATGCTAGACAGGTGCTCTCCCATCGAGTTACCCTACCCATAGCATGACTGTTGTATTTTTAAGGAATTTGCTCAAGACTGTTACAGAAATACTGCCTAGATTCCAGCTTGTTGGCCTGCCTCATCATGTGCACTAATTCCTTAAAATAAATGTGTGTGTGTGTGTGTGCACGTGTTCTCTGGAGAATCCTTTTACAGATATTGTTTTCCCATCCAAAAAGATATGATGTAATCTCTTTTCATTTGTCAAGTCTAATTTTGTATTTCAAGAGTATTTCAGAATTGGAAATTTCCTATCTGTGTGCATGATTCTACTTTTTTTTTTTTTTTTTTTTTTTTTGCAGTGCACTGCCTCGGATGGACCCCCTGGCCTCACGCATGCCACACAATTGCTCTACCACTAAGTCCCATCCCAGCTCTACACAGGATTCTTTTTTTTTTTTAAGAGAGAATTTTTAATATTTATTTATGTTTTTAGTTATTGGCAGACACAACATCTCTGTTCGTATGTGGTGCTGAGGATCGAACCCGGGCCGCACACATGTCAGGCGAGCGTGCCACCGCTTGAGCCACATCCCCAGCCCCTAGGATTCTTATTTATTTTTGGTACCAGGGATTGAACCCAATGGCTCTTAACCACTGAGCCACATCCTCAACCCTATTTTGTATTTTATTTAGAGACAGGATCTCACTGAGTTGCTTAGGGCTTCACTTTTGCTGAGGCTGGCTTTTGAACTTTCGATCTTCCTGCCTCAGCCTCTGGAGCCACTGGGATTACAGGCCTGCACCATTGTGCCTGGCCCATACTGTCTTAACTAAGATCAATTGTATATTATTCCTAGTAGAATCAGGCCCCAAGCAATTTCTATTCCATGCAGAATCTCAAATATTCTATAAACCTGGAATATTACACCACTAAGATGGGAAAGATTAGGTTCTCTCTTTCACTGTCACTGGAACAATCTGCCATGAGTCTGCCTTTCCTGCCTCTCACACAAGTCTTGACACTGTGATTTATGTTCCTGAACAAATTAGACTTAATTTAAGAGCAAATCATCAGCAACAGGTATAATAATCTTGGCAGGACATTTATTTTAATTAATTGCTTTCTGCCTAACATAGATAGAGGGATGCTGATACCATTTACCCTATAAGGATTAGTACTGTCATGTAATTAATTTTTTTTCTTCCCCTAGAACTTAAAGTCTCATCAGTTTTAAATTACAAAGGCATTGGTTTACTTCATATTTAATCATAACAATCTAACTTCTATGGCAATGTTTATATAAGATACTTGTGAAAGAAAAATGGATTCTAACTACCCTGCAGCATGACTAATCCCTGTTTCTGTACACAGTCCCTGTTGGGTTCCAGAAAAACTTTCATTCCCATAAACCCGACACAGGGGTAGGGGTGGAGAACACTTGATTGATTTTTAGAACAATGTAGACTTTTCTATTATTTATATTTCAATGAGAGGCAAAAAGAAAAAGTTCCCTCCACTGTAGAGTTTTAGGAAGCCATTCTCTAAAGCAGCCCACAATAAATGATAGGAAATAACTAAATAAGCCCATTTTGTCAAACCTGCCAAACTCAACGTTATTTAGACATGATCTAGTATTTCCACAGAAGAGACAGAAATAGCCAGTACTAACATAAGGAGAGTTCACAGGGGAAGGACTGCAACACTCACAAAATAAAATAAGTTGGCTACATAAATGTAAATTTAGCCAGGCACAGTGGCGCACACCTGTAATCCCAGCAGCTCTGGAGGCTGAGGCAGGAGGATCGTGAGTTCAAAGCCAGCCTCAGCAACTTGGCAAGGCCCTAAGCAACTCAGCAAGACCCTGTCTCTAAATAAATAAAATACAAAATAGGGCTGGGCGTGTGGCTCAGTGGTTAAGTGCCCCTGGGTTCACTCCCCAGCACCCCCAAATAAATAAATAAATGTGAATTGAAAATTCGGTGTGTCTTTTAGGAAAATAAAAGCATAGTTGGAGGCATTTACCTTTAAAAGTTCTTCATATTCTAACCAATTCATTGCTTATTTATCTTTAAAAATGCTACATAAAAGCTGGTATGGTGGCACACGCCTGTAATCCTAGGGACTCAGGAGGCTGAGGCAGGAGCATCATAAGTTCCAGGCCAGCCTCAGCAACTTAGTGAGGCCCATTGAGACCATGTCTCAAAATAAAAAAACAAAAAGGGCTGGGGACGTGGCTCGGTGTTGAGCACCCCTGGGCTCAATCCCCGATACCAAAAACAACAACAAAAAAACCAAAAATGCTATAGGAAGATTTAAGCCTTTTCAACATAGGCAGGTGTGAATTTTATCATGTATTTTATATAAGTTCGATAACAAGTCTTCCTTATACTGGTGTGGAATCTCAAGAGGCAGTGAGAATACACAAATGTTAAAAAAAACAAAACAAAACAAAAAAACAGCATGATCCCATGTGTATAACAAACAGCCAGTACTGACGGAAAGAAGAACGCCCGTTAGGTTTGTACCATGCAGATTCAGTATTGAAATGACACAAATTTGGAATCATTAACTTTATTTATCACTCCTTAAAGACATTGGTCCACTTCCACATGAAAAGCAGAAATCATCCACTTCACTTAATATCTTAGAGAATGAAGTTGTACCACAAACCATAGTAGATTCACAGGGGGAAGAGTTACTGAAATAAAAATATTTTCTATTCCTGCCTCAAGATGTCCCCCAAAGATCTGCTTTTGAGTATCTAATTACAAGCATCTGTAACTCCACGTGTCTCCTCTTGAAGCAATATAGTATTTTTAATACCCCTACAAGACCATGCACATCACTGAACTTGCAGAAGAGGTTAAAAAAACAGCTATCCTGTCAATCAAGCGACTGCATAAGCACATCCAGTATTTGAAAGGGCTGCTTTAAGTTAAAAACCTTTGCTGGTTTTCAGAGATATTTACATCAAATTAAGACATTTACAAATGGTTCATAGTATATGAGAACCCAAGTATAATTTTCATCTATCCTGTGTAAGGAAGTTAAGCATTCATAAGCTGCTCTAATAAAACTCAGTGCATTTTCCCAACATAAATAACAAGCTACTCTAAGTGTTTTACATGTCTCTCAGTGCATATCTCCAAATCTATTATACGGAATGAAATTACATTATTAAATGGCTATATCATGACATTCAAGCATATTATGGAATCTATTACATCATTTGATTCACATCAATACTAGAAGTCACTCTAAAAAAACATCACAGGCACACACAAAATAGAGAACAAAATTTGCTATTTGTTTTAATCAAGTATACTATCTACTTTAAACCACACTAAAAGATATATTTTAATAAAATGGCCAATTTCCAAACCCCTAGCCTAAGTGTGGCATGAGGAGAGCTCAGTCCATTCGGATCTTCTGGTTTGTCATCCTGTAAATGATGCTATCATATCCAGGATCCATGTTCCAAATATTGTAAGAGGTGATGATCACGGCCAAAGCCAAGGCGATCATTATCCAAAGTACCATATTGAAAACAACTGAATATTCAAAATTATACTTATATGCAAGGTTATAGGGACTGGCTGGTTTCTGCAATGAAGAAAAGGAAAGAGAAAATCAAATTTTAAGATATAACATTATCCTAATTTAGTGTGTTAGACTCGCTGTCTAGCAAACACTTATCCACAAGTGGCCTAAGAGCTACTTGTACTGGGCGGAACCAGGAAGGGGAGTCTTCAGGGAGAAGACACTGGCACCGTGGGTGGAAGTGTAAACTGGTCCAACTGCTTGAGAAACTGGCAACACCCGGTGTAGCTGAAGGCAGGCGTATCCTGCCATCCCGGTAAGTCCACGAGTGAACCGAGAGCCTGTGCAGCCATCAGCCACACAGTGGGCGGGTACGGGGACGTGGCCGTACAGTGGGCGACACAGCAGTGAGGGGACCGATTCCTGCTCTATTCATAAGTCTGTGTGACTTTGAAAAATAACACCGAGCAAAGAACACAGAAAAATAATGAGGTAGGATTCCATGTGTACAAAACTGAAGCAGGCAAAACCAAACAGCTCTGTTTTAAGGATAAATATGCACACAGTCAAACTGCAAGGGAAAGCAAGGGGGTGGCTGCCGTGGTCAGGAGCCGGGTCATTGAGGGGTGGGGTAGGTGGGGGACTCCAGGGAACAGGGGTTCAGCGTTTGTATTCTTTAAATAATATTAAATATGTTACAAGCTGTGGAAGAACGAGCACCTTCATGTTTCTAAAAGAGGAAAACAGGCTTCTTCAACTACACAGCAACTTGGTTCATTGTGGCTAAAGAATATAAAGTGTAGGCCGGGGCTGGGGACAGCTCAGGGGCCGAGTGCTTTCCTGTCCTGCAGGAGGCCCTGGGGTTGGTCCCCAGCACTGGAAAAACAAAATGAATATAAAAAATAAAGAGCAGGACAATAACAAGAGATGAGGTTCATGCAGGGAAGCCATGGGGACCTGGCCTTGAGCCCACGGCAACGAGGACGGGACATGGCTGAGGCAGGAAGCCAGCCTCGTGATCAGGGTCTCCTTTAGAAAAGATGACGGTGATGATGAAGTGTACAGGTGGATCTGGGAAGGGACAGCTGAAAAGCAGGGAGACAGACTGGGGTGTGGCAGCGTAGTGAGGTGGCAGAAAGGAGGGCGGGGTGCCTGGCAGACGGTGTCAGAGCTCTGCTTGTTCTACCACCCCAGGCCCTGGTACATCGTGGGCACTTGGCAAACGATTCCCTGAACTGTTCTTAGCTGTCCCCTTACGCTAACAGAAGACAGTGACTTCAACTGGAGGAGGGAATGGGGGCACAGACCCTGTGTTTACCTGCGGGAGCTTAGAGTTGAGGCCAAGGACCTCACACCCCGAGACCTTCTTTGGTTTCTATTTGATACAGCGGGCTCACACCCAGCCCAAGTGCACACTGCAGTGATTTTCAGCTCACTGACAGGGTTGCACAGTCTTTGCTGCAACTAATGTTACACCATCTCCATCAGCGCTCTAGGAAGCAAGCCCACGTGAGGCCTTCTTCTCTGTGAACAGGCCAGAGACTGGATGCAGGAGAGTGATGAACAGGGACGACAGGCAGGCGACCAGACGAAATGACATTCCAAGGAATGTTTGATGCCAACTTCCCATTGCAAAGGTTTCCTTTGGGTCTCTTACAGTTTTACAAACAAGAAAATTCTGGAGATTTTAGACGGCATACCTGAAGCGCTAACTCAACCTCGTAGGTAAAGCAAATCGGACCTCACCTGGCTCTTGCCCCTAATAACACATCTGGTCATCTGAGAGGCTACTTTCCCAGAAACTCAAGTCATGCATTAAAGGAGCCGATTGGTAAACGCAGCCTAGCACTTCACAGGAGACACAATAATTCAGCTTTACACAAGTGACTGCTCAAACTCCAAAACCAGGGCCTTCTTCAAGATGGCTTCTCTCTGGGGTCACTTCATGTAAACTGGGCAGGCCAGCCGTGGCAGTATTCAAGTTTTCCCACTAAGTTCAAATCTGTCTGAAGGCTCTGCTTTCGGGGTCAGCTCCCATTTCTTTAATCAGTTTAGACATATTCTGTGGCTTCTCCTCACTTGCTGTTGTCTGAAGGTTTTGGGGTCTGATTCTTGCTATTTGCTGTTGTCCTCATGGTGTATCAGCTCTGCCCGTGGGTTACAATTTCTGAGTTCACTTTGGGGATCATACCCGGGAAGGCTCCCCTGCCCCGTGATTGTACTGAGGGTGTACCCTGTCAGAGACTCCACACTGACTTCAGCTGTGTGCTGTGGAGGGCTCACCAGCGTGGGAAGGTTTCTGTTGATTTCTTGGCCGGGGCTTTCCAAAACAGCAGGTGACACAAATTGGAGCCCCTCACTCACAGGAAGGGGGCCCTGTTGTTGAGAACATCTCTACTCCCAACAGACTGGCCACCTGGAGCTCAAGCTGCCTTTGCTGGTAGGCAGAATGTTCACGAGTCTCCCCTCTCGGGAGGGCACAGCTTTTTCAAGGTCCCCAGCTTTATAGGGAGGTGTCACTTCTCATCCCCTCCCCCACAGGGACTCAGAGGCTCCTCACCTGGTTTCTGTTTTTGTTTTTTTTGGTGCTGGGGATTGAACCCAGGGCCTCCCCAGCCCCTGATGGATGTCCTTAGTTTGGCCTGCTTCTTTGCTCACCCTGTAAGGATCTCCTTTACCTTTTGAGAGCTGAGCTATGCACTTAAAAAGGCCTTTTATTTTTCATCCAGTGCTTCTAGATGCCTTACAGCAGACACTGGTGGTAGCTGCGGGGTAAGCGGGGCGTCTGTCTGGCCTGCTATGTGTCTTAAACACAGGAAACCAATCTAAAGCCGGTGTCTCCAGGCTGCCTTTGGCAGGCATCAGCTTCAGCCCTCTCACCCCAGGTCTCTCCCTGCCATCTGTAAACGGAGTGACATGGGTCTGAAGGGTACAGAAGTGACTAGGGAGCTGACAGCAGTAAGTGACGAGGCCAACCGTAAATAACGTTCTTGGCTACGTGGCGTCTAGAGTGTCTATACCACTCTTTCCCACCCCCAGATTTCCTGAAGCCATATATCTGTCTAAGATCATGGACACACACAGTTTTCCACAGCCAGCAACCTCACCTCTCGCTCTAAATGCTTAAACTCAAAGCAAGATCCATACCAAAAAACTATGGCGGTAAACCAAAATTTTAAAGACCTACACAAGGAGGATTCCAGAAATAAGGGATTTTGCTGCCAAGACAGTGTTCCTTCTAAAAGAGCAGAGTTCATCAGTTGAGAGCGCCCCGCCACGCCCTCAGTGACTGCTGATGTCCCCTGTACATACCAATATTGGAACTCTCTTACTGCCCTGGCAGATTTACTTTTATCCCTAACTCAAATTCTTACAGTATCTGATGGTAGCCCCAAAGGACTGAGTACTATTGGCTAAAGCACAGAACCTTGTGAATAATCAATGAATATTTGAACTGAAATTGTTTTTCAGATTTACTGACGGCCCATTCATGTCACCTAGAGGTGACAGAGGATTGAATTTTTTCAAAAGAAATCATGCTCACCTCTTCTTTTGCCTCAAGGATAGTTCTTGTCTTCCTCATAAGGGATGTGTCAAATGATTTGACAGTCACTAACTCTACCACTGCATTCCCACCATAAAGATTGTACATGTCATCTGCAAACTAAAAGGAAGTTGTTAACATTGTGATGAATCTCCAATATGTTTTGTCTTCATTTTTTAGTTGTTGATGGACCTTTATTTTTCACTTATTTATATGTGGTTCTGAGAATCAAACCCAGTGCCTCACACATGCTAGGCAAGTGCTCTGCCACTGAGCCACAATTCCAGTCCCCATTTTTATTTTTAAGTGACAAAAATTGTATATAATTATCCCTCAGCACCTGTTGGGGACACTGGTTCCGGGACCCTCCTGGGAATGCAAAATGTGCAGATGCTCAAGTCCCTTACATAAAATGGTGTAGTATCTGTAAAGAACCTGCGCATATCCTCCCGTATACTTACCAACACACACGGACCTATGCATATCCTCCCGTATACTTACCTACTTACTTTTCTTTTTGTCCTGGGGATTGAGCCCAGGGGTGCATAACCACTGAGCCATATCCCCAATCCTTTTTATGTTTTGAGACAGGGTCTCACTAAGTTGCTCAAGACATCATTAAGTTTCTGAGGCTGGCTCCGAACTCACTATCCTCCTGCCTCAGCCTCCTGAGCTTCTGGGATTTCAGGTGTGCGCCATTGTGCCTGGCTTCCGGTATACTTTAAATCTTCTTTTGGTTCCTTATAATACCTAATACAGTGTCCATGCTGTGTTAATAGACTGCGTTGTTTAGGGAATAATGGCAAGGGGGAAAGTCTGTACACATTCAGCACAGATGCACGTTTTTTCCCTAAATATTTCCAATCCTTGGTTGAATCTCCAGATATGGAACCCATGGATAGATATTTATCATATGCAATATTTGTTATAAGATATAATATACAGCTAGGCGTGATGATGCACGACTGTAATCCCAGAGACTCAGGAGGCTGAGGTGGAAGGACTGCAAGTTGGAGGCCAGCCTTAGCAACTGAGCAAGAGTCTGTTTCAAAAAAGGTAGAGATGTGGCTCAGTGGTAGAGCACCCTGGGTTCAATCCCCAGTACCACAAAAATAAACAAAGTACACACACATTGTGGAATGGCTAAAACAAGATAATTAACATGCGTCACCATCATTTTCTGTGGCAAGTCAAATACAAACTCATTTAAATTATGTGTAAAGTTTCTGTTCTTTGACAACATATTTCTACCTACTGGATCATGATATATGCTATGTCTTAAAATAGGCAAGACTAAAGATTTTGATTATGTTGAAATATTCAGAAAAGTGTTGAGCTTTAATATATATTCAAATGCTCAAAATAAGATTACTTTAAGAGACTGAACTTGTTGGCATATAAACTGGGGGAAGGGAAGTAGGAAAGGGAAATGAAGAGATGTTCCTAAGTGGTCTATGATTAATCACAAACGTCTACAAAGATTTACGCAGGAAGCCTCACTGAGGAGTTATTGGTGAGTAACGTGGAGGGCAGAAAAGAACAGGCATTTGTTATGCATTGGTTGCGTGTCTGCTGTGCTCGGTGTTCTAGTTCAGTACCTGATAGTGTTTAATGGGCACAGAGTTTCAACTGGGAAAGATGAAAAAGTTTTATTAGAGATGATGACGGCTGCAGAACACAGGACTGTATCTAATGCCACTTAAACATGGCTACAATGGTTACATTTTACGTTATATATATTTTACCAGAAAAAAAATATATATCATGCTATAGTTATCAATCATTTCCTAATACTGTCCCTGCCAGCATTAGAAAGAGGTAGCCCAATATATACCTTTGACCCTATTTTATTCTTGGCCACTATAATTAGAACACCCTCCAAACAGTCAAGACCTCACTCAACGGCATTTCACATGGATCCCCAGCACCACAAACAACCCCCACACACAAGAAAAAGTGTTCTCACAAAGCAGATTTTCCCATTAAGAGCAAAAGTGAAATGTCACATTCTGACCTCTCATCCGACACTGAAGTTTACCTTTTGCAGAGCATCAACAAGGATCCTAGAAGCATCTCTGAACTGCTCAGAGTCTTCCCCGTAACGTTTCCCAATTTCATCCAAACCTGCTAGCTCCAGTGAGTACAGATCAGGAGAGTGATCCTTGGCTAGATGCTTATGACGGGACAACTGAGGTGGACAAATAAAAAAAGGTGACAGATAACGTGTGGTGTATAACAGCTGATTCAAGTTTCATACCTAAATAAACTTGGCTACCACAGTACTCCAGCCATGCCCACAGCCTGGGGTCTAAAATGGTGGTAACGGGGAACTGGTTTAAATGGGAGTTTCTGATAAATCCCACCCAAGTCTTATTTTGGGGAACACTTACAGAACTCCTTGAATATTCAATAAAAGTTCTTAACAAAATTGTTAGGTTTTTTTCAAAGTTATTTTTTTTTTATATATGACAGCGGAATGCATTACAGTTCTTGTTACACATATAGACACATGTTTTCCTATCTCTGGTTGTATACATAGCATATTCACACCAATTCGTGTCTTCATACATGTACTTTGGATAATAATGATCATCACATTCCACCATCATTAATTACCCCATGCCCCCTCCATTCCCCTCCCACTCCTCTGCCCTATCTAACAAAATTGTTAGTTTTATACCAGGTGCGGCGGCATATGCCTATGATCCAGCTACAAGCGAAGCTGAGGCAGGAGGATTATAAATTCGAAAACAGCCTGGGAAACTTCATGAGACCCTGTCTTAGAATAAAAAAAGGTTGGGCACACAGTTCAGTGATAGAGCACTTGCCTAGCATGTGTGAGACCCTGGGGTCAATCCCCAGCCCTGCACACAATTTTTTTTTTAAACACAACTGCTTAGTTTAAAAACTCAGCTATGGGGAAGCACACAAGGAACAGCTGGTTGGACCAGTTTGATCCCAGGAATTAGTGAGCCATCAGCCGCTACTCCCCACAAACCCTCCCTCGCCACTTTCACAGATCCCCAGCGCTGAACTTCCCGATTCCTCAACCCAGTACTGGCTGAAAAAGTTTAAAAAACAACTTCACAAGCTACCAAAGAGGTAAGAATTTCTATTTCAGTTACAAGGATGAGTAACTCAAAAAAAAAAAAAAAAAAAAGAAGCCCTTCAGACAGATGCATTCCTTCTCGACTTGGTTGACAGTATTATTTATCCCAACTATTACTTCTTGTTTTTCAACACAAAGCTACAGATGTAGGAATTATGTCTTAATGGCTGACCAGAAATCAATGCCCAAGTTAGCCAGGGTATTCTTATTCCCAGGACTATTTTGTGGAGGACATACTGTCTCCTCTAAAAGGAGAAATGCAAAAATAATTTCACGCTCACATGAGTTTAGAATGCCCAGCACCACTACTAATTTCTCAATTTTCATGGGGTCTTAAATCTAGACATTCCTTTCTTTTATTCTGCATTTTCAGGGATTGAATCCAAAGCTTCACAGCTGTTAGGCAAGTGTTCTATTACTGAGCTACGTCACTGGCCCTTTTTATTTGTTGAGACAGGATCTTATTAAGCTGCGCACGCTGGCCTTGAACTTGTGATTCTCCTGTCTCCGCCTCCCAAGTAGCTGGGATTACAGGTGTGTGTGCACTGCCATGCCTGGTTTAGGGCATACATATCATGCTTTCCAACTGGATTCACTATCAGTGAAGGAGTTTATAGACACCAGAATAAATGGAACTGAAAAATTCAAGCAGCCTACTTACCAAACTTGAGATATCATGTAGCACTTGCAGTTCCGAAAGAAACAGCAGGTCAACCTTCAGAGACCAAAAAAAACCCAAAATGAACATTATTTTAAATATGCGTTACAGGTCTATATTTGCCATTTATCAAGTAAAATACAGGCTATTACAAATATTAATCCCATAAGTAAAATTATATAATTTCCCCCCCTCTGGTAGGTTCACTGCAACTGACAAGGCGTACACAGGCGAGGGTGCAGCTGGTGGGAGAGCGCTTACCCAGCATGCCTGAGGCCCTGGGCGCCACCCACAGCACCAGAACAAAACTGCATGTAAAACACTGCTTCCTAACAGAAAGGTAGTGGCCATCCCTTAACACAGTGACTGCCACTCAACAGCTATACTTCTGACAGAACCATGATCCATCATCTGAATTCCACTGTGGTTTTTCCTCAGGGCACCAGGATATCCCGCCACGGGCCAGCGTGCTCACTCCCCTTGAATACTCTCCATACTGGACAATGGAAAATAGTGGTTCTGGTCGCCCAAAGTAGGTAAATGGTGGACGTCATCACAAAGGTGGCATGCCATGTGATTACAAGGGTGCAAAAGCAGACGATGAAGCTGAAGGGCAGCAAAGATGGGGGTGCCCCTTCCACTGCAGTATCCAGAATGAATGAGAAAAACCTGGCAACACGTCGGCAGCGGTGGTTTGTGCTACATAGTGTCCTGTCCATGTTTGAGCTGTATCTCATCTAGTCACATTGGGAATACAGACTCTGCTCACTAGGGGGCTGTTTAATCCTCTATAGGATTACCAGGTGGACACAGCTCCTCCACGGAGACACTGCGGTTCCTGGCTTGTGTGGATGAACAGGGGCAACCCTGCCACTAGAATATAACACTACTACAGCTTGATTCACAGCAAGGACTGGTTTACTCATGAGATCATTAAGATGATTACGCCATGAGCCAGGTGTGGTGCTGCACGCCTGTCACCCCAGCAACTCGGGAGGCTGAGGCAGGAGGATTCCAAGTTCAAGACTAGCCTCAGCAATTTAGTGAGACCCTAAGCAACTTCGTGAAACCTAGTTTCAAAATAAAAAATAAAAAGGGCACAGGGCTGGGGCTGGGGCTCAGTGGAAGAGTTATTATGTTCATCTACAACTAAAAATATATTTTAAAAAAAGGCTCCAGATATGGTTCAGTGGTTAAGCACCCCCAGGTTCATCCCCCAGTAAACACCCCCCCCCCACCAACCAAAAAAAAGAATATTACACCAGTGGAGAGAACAATTTACTCCAGCAGTAAATCTGTATGATTTTTTATTTTCTAAAAATTCTAACATTTCAAAGTAACGTAAGGAATGGAAAGTTAACAATGATATTTATCTTTTCATTCAACAAGTGCACTACTTACTTCATTGTTCCTACTCAGAGAATTGAGGGGAAGTGAATTGAGAACGGAGTTTTCTTGAAACAGGCGACTACGGAGCTGCCGCAAAGTGACTGAAAGGTCTTCAAACACCGAGTTTGCCTTCCCCACCATATACACTCTCTGCAAAGAGAATCCCAGACTGAAGTCACCCACAGTCTACAGTCTGCTCAACACAAGGAGGTCTGACAGTATTTTTCATAAAAGTGGTTTTCAACTTTCATTAAGTCATGAAAGCTGCTTTTATTTTTTTTAAAGCATCTTATATAAAAACTTTAGCACTTACTTCCTCACTAGGAGCCAACTGCAAAACTACGGGAGTTTCTTCAGAAAACAAGGAGTGAATGGAATTTGCGACGCTGTCAAGACTAAAAGGAACCGCCTGCGATTTAAGAATAAGACCACAGTTATTTTCTGAATGAAAGTAGGAAAAAAAGTCATTCAGATGGTATTAAGAAAGAAGCCTGGGGACTTTGGTTTTGGTACCTGGGGCACTTTACTGCTGAGCTACATCCTCAGCTCTTTTTAATTTAATTTTTCTTTTGCAGCAGGGTCTTACTAAGTTGCTGAGGTTGGTCTCTAACTTGCAATCCTCCTGCCTCAGCCTCCTGAACTGCTAGGATTATAGACATGTGCCACAGGGCCTGGGTGGCACCGGTACTTTTTATGGAAATTTGGAAGATGAACACCTGGAGCCCTTTTAAGGCTATAGAGGATTAAACAGCCCCCTAGTGAGCGGAGTCTGTATTCCCAATGTGACTAGATGAGATACAGCTTAAACATGGACAGGACACTATGTAGCACAAACCATTTTCTGGTGGTCATTCATGTACTTGAAGCAGCAACACATTTGGTTTCAATATTGATTAAACATGCTACAATGAATGTGTAAAGT